AAAAAAAAAAAAAAAAAAGTTAGTTTTAGAGTTATGAAATGTTTTTGTCACAAAGGTATTATCCTTACAACACGTGTTGTACTAATACGATTGAGTTTATATTTCTTTCGATTCGTTTCAGATACAGAAAAAGATTTAAAATATCTGATAACTTCGAAACGTTTACGTTTATTAAGACTTTTTCGCATAGAGCACTACACACTTCTGAAGTTTAATACTTTTTTAAACATCCTAGCGAATGTCAGAAAGAAAACTCTTGTTTTTGAACAGTATGTGTGAGTTTTTCGTCGTTGCCTGAATCAACCGAAACCGGTGAAAGTTTTTACGCTCCTCGAATTCTTCGCCAGTTGAGCAAACAATTGGTGTGACTTCTGTGATTCTACGTGAAATACGAAATGAAATTGGAAATCGTCGAGAATGCGGGTGAAATGAAATAACTTGGCGCGCTAATGCAGATCGGACGTTCGAAACATGCAAACAAAATTTCATTCAAGAAGCAATCTCGAACGATGCAAATGTTGATGGTGCGGTTAACGGTACTCAAACCAACAGAAACCGGCATTCTTCTCAGCCGACCGGAAACAAGCGAAATAGCGTTACAGCGTAAATCGTTGAAATTCGAAATGACATCGTCTCGATCGTGAGAAATCGGGACGACCGTAACGGAATATCGCGACAGCAGGTCGTATACTACATTAGACGACTTGCACAATTTGTCTATGATAAAATGTCCGGTATCACTGATACGCGGGAAAGTAGGCTACAGAAGTTTGTTGTGCACTTTCGAAGAAGTGCATGGAATGTGTCGCAGGTTTTTTTTATCAACATCGAATACTCCTAATGGCTAGTGGATTTCTATATAGATCTATACTTTTACAGATCCAGAAAGATTTGTTTCGTTTGCTAAAGTAATTATAAACTACTTTGTATTTTTATACATAATGTGTATTCTATAAATTTTTCATACTTGAATTTCCTTTGTAAGGAATTTTGATATTCATCTGATATGGGAATAGATTATGTCTTACATCACCTAGATAATTATCTACACTATCTATACATTGATCTCACGTGACGATATGATGAAATAAATATACTTGTCTCAGCTCAAATATTTGCGTATGTAGCAAAGAACAATCATTGAATTTCGTGCATCATTTAATTTGTATTTTATATAACGTACTATATTGTACACGTAACATTTCGTTCAGAGTTATTGATTTATTGTTTTGGAGAAGTTGAGGGAAAGAAGGGAAATCGTACGGGGTGACAACGGACCCTTTTCCTGAAATCAATACCAAGGGCGTTGCTCTCTCTAACACGCCACCAACCACAGAAATAATCACAACTTTAAATTACAAATTCTAGGCGTCGATTATCTCATAGAAGAATTACATGACCGAACGAATATGGTAAGTTTTTTTTTTTTTTAAATCAATGTATCTCTAAGATTTTTTGCTGTATGCCGTATCAATGAAAGAACATTTTGATAACCGCGTCATATATACACAGACATAACGTAACGATCTAGGAAAATCACGCATTATGTAAGAATATTTCTTCAAAACAGATTTTCCTCGCATTTTCTTTTGGGAAGAAAAAAGGAGGAAAGAGGAGATTGAACAAGTTAGAAAAATCTTGCCAAATCAACTACGTAAGCTTGAAGAACACGAGACGAAAGATTCTCGAAAAATATTAATTAACGAGAATTAACAACGTTCAATATATTTATTGATGTGGTGTATATTTACCCAGTATCATGGTTAGTGTCGAAGCGACCAGACCGCAGAACGAGCGACGAAGCAAAGTAGCGGCAGTTGCGAGTAATAGTGACGAAAGCGCTGAAGGTCGTCCCGTGTACGCCAGTCGAAGACTAACTGATGTAGGCTCCGCGTGCACACGACACTATCCGTTCCTTGCGACGAAAACACCGTTATCTATCCGTTCTGCTACCTCTCTTCCCTATTGTAATAAGTAGCGTCGATGCATTGGTCAGCACGCGGCCACGTGTGAGCAGCCATCGAACCGTACGCAGCTGGCAAATCCACAAAACTGTCAAAGTTTTCTGTCGCTTCTGACATGCGCATCTCGGGCCAATGTATCGCTTCCGACTTCCCGAGGTCGAACGCACGCCTTCGCCAACTTTTGGAGCGAAATTCAAATATCGTTTAAGAAAACATCATCGACATAAGAATTTTTTACTTTTCACACGCCAATCGTTTCTATTGCTAATCAGTTGAATGTATGTATAAATAACAGAGTCAAATCACATGACACGGTTACAAAGAATGTCGTGTATCGCTGTTATTTTTATATCGTTCCGATTCGGAGGATTTGAACATTTCTACTGCAATATTAAATTGCCGTCGCAGATGAAAATTCTGCTTTCCCTTTGCGAAGAAAACCGAGCGGACAAATACTCGTTCGTTCAAATTACGCGCCGCAAGCGGTGCGCATGTCAGTAAACTATGGGCTACTAACAATCAACTGTCATGTGTTGCTCACAGTCTTGGATGTTGTGTTGACGTATGCGGATGGTTCATAGAACAGTTCTTATGAAGTGACAGTCCGTTGATCAATTGCATATAACGATTACTCGTATAAACGATTTCAGGAGGCAGAACAACAACGATTTTAAGGTTAACATCACAACAAGTGCACGATCGCTTCTTTATTCGCGCCACTCTAGTAATTTGAGGTAAGTCATGAAAATAATTAATTGTCGATCTTGTTAAACTCGAATGTTCGATCATTCGAAAATAAAGTTATTTTACTTTTTTTTTTCCTCGCTTTAACTGCGTCTTACGAATGTAGACAACGAATTTATGAAGGATTCCATTGTTCCTTGGAGGTTAGAAACGATGACGTCCTTACTTTGTGTGTCTATGATTCATTGTCTCTTCATTGTTGTTTTGTAAATATTTGTTATCTGACTCCTTTTGAGAATATAGCATTTTCTTCTTGAGTTTATACAATGATTCGACAGCGCTCTCGTCAAATTTTATTATTTTAGATTCATAATAGATAAGTAATTGACAGTAAAGGAAAGTTTCTTATTTCGTCGATAAATCGCTGTAGGTGGAAGCTTTCAAGAATTGCTAATTTATTAGACTTTGATCTTTGCTTTTTGTTCCAGCATTCATCATGCCAATTTTATACAGCGTGGTGGCTAAGGGGACGATAATATTAGCAAAATATGCATCCTGCACTGGCAACTTTGATGAAGTAACAGAGAACATTCTGGCAAAAAAAGTCGAAAATGACAAGCTTACATACTCGCAAGGACAATATCTTTTTCATTACATCTGCGAAGATAATATTATTTACATGTGCATCACAGACAATGTAAGTAAGCCATAATCTGAGATCGTTGAGATCAAGCAATTACTATATGAGAAAGATTGATTCTTATCCGATATGTTGCAGGATTACCAAAAATCCAAAGCATTTTTATACTTGGCAGAAATTAAAGGAAGATTCTTGGCCGTGTATGGACAAGATGTACAAACTGCACTTCCCTACGCAATGAACACAGATTTTGCTAGAACGTTAGCTAGTACAATGGTAAGATATACAAATGCATTTGAAATTCTATTATACGAATATATTCAAATGTGTTCTTCGTTTAGAAACATTATAACGAGTCCAATCACAAAGTCGATGTGTTAGATAGTGTCCTTGGCGATTTAGATGAATTGAAGGATATAATGAGCAAAAGCATCGATAACGTCGCGATGCGTGGAGAACGGTTAGAACTCCTCGTAAACAAAACGGAAAATTTAAGCACGAATGTAAGTAAAGTTACTAGCTATTGCGAAGGATATGCGAAAAAAAAAATTAATTCTCTTTATTCGTTATTTTCAGTCGATTACGTTTAGGAAAACCAGCAGAAATTTGGCGCGCTCGTTGTTTTGGAAAAACGTAAAAATTTACGTTATCGTCGGTGTCATCCTAATTGTAAGTAATCAATATTATATGCGATTTCATTCGAATCTAAACAACATTATATGAATCCCGTAGGTCGTCGTATATGTTATTGTGTCGATGTCCTGCGGAGGCTTGGCATGGCCAAAATGCGTCGGAAAATAATTCATCTTTATAATACGTCGATGCACTGTGTTCTGTCTTGAAAATGTGATAAGAATTTAATCGCGGTCGATTCGCGGAGCTACGCTGTAAGCAAATAGGGAAAGACATTCACGATGCATGTTTCATTTGTTGGTTTGTGAGAAAGGTTTGAGATTTCATTCTGTTCTGTGGTTCTATCAAAACGGAAACAATGTAAGATTAAAGAAGATACAATTAGGAAATGTACAAATATAAACATGTACGCGATACTTCTAATATTTTTATTGTTTTAGCAAAAATAATTCGAATATCGTTGATATTTGTTAAGCGACGAACGTAATTTTATCTATTATCTGTAATATATATATGCCTACACGTTCTGCGAGAGAGACAAAAAAAAAAAAGCAAAAGAAAGAAAAAAATTAAATAAAATGACTGTAGCATTTAAATTGGTGATTCATTTATACATTTCCGTTGTGCACTCTCGGGTGCAACAAGTGAAGGTCACGCGCATACTTGGTATACCTTTGCGAAAGCTATTTCATTACGTCGAGAGTCCTATCATCGAAAGTGGCCGTGCTCCTTTTGCACCCTGGGCGAAGTTATGGCCGTGCTTATCCGTTTTTCACGCCATTAAATACATTACATTTTCTCCATGCGGAAGTCTCCAAACGGTGCACTCGATACACTGTTTTTCCACTGCCGGCCCCGAGCGCATGCTCCGATACATATTTATCCCTCCGACGGATTGTGACTAGTCCAAACGACACCCTACCCAAATTTAATTCAAACGCCTACTCTCCCGCTAGACGTTTCTTGTACCAATAAAAAATAGTTACAGCTTACTTTTAAATTAAATAGTTACAGCAGTGAAAATAGAGCTAGAAATCCTTCAAATCGCAATCTATATATTCACCGAAGCGTCAATCTCGGTAGAAGTCGGTGAATCTGTTACTCGGAATTTTCGCCGGCGACGACACGAAATATACGTATTTGGGACTGGGGGGCTTGAAAGGAAGCGTACGGGGTAGATACGGTCCTGGGGTGGCTGCAACGACATCGCCAGCGTGGGACGGGTGGCGGCGTCGCAGGCGCTGTAATCGCGACGCCCGGGCCATCGCAGCAGCCCGGCAGCTCTGGCAGCAGGATGTCGATGGCTCGCGTGGCGCGCCCTTCGGGGGGTGCCAAAGAGTATCGTCTCGGTGGCTGGTCTCGACGCCACGATTGATCGTACGTCGTCCCTGAACCCGCGCTTCGGAAACACTTTCGATTACGAGCGCAAGGTCGCATCAACAAGTTCTGACCGTGTTTGCGGCCGTGGCGATCGTAGCGACCGGTCAGCGACCGTTTGCGAATTAATATCCAAGGGAAAACAACCACCCCCTCCGGTTGGTGGTGATTGTTTGC